ACTCATCCCGTTCGTCCCCACCGCCCTTTCACGACGCAGAAAAACAACCGCGCGGGCCGTGGATCTACGTGCGCAAAAGACAAAACATGGCAATGTATTTCTCCGCACTCTAGCGGTAGATTCAATCTCGTGAGTAGTGCAGCGAGGCCCTAAGTCCAAAACGAAAGGACGCAAACTGGCCCACAAAACGACAAAAAAGATAAGCAAGGTATTTCTCTGTACTCTAGCGGTAGATTCAGTTTCGTGAGCAGTGCAGCAAGGCCCTAAGTCCAAAACGAAACGACGCGAGCGGGCCCACAAAACAACAAAAAACGATAAGCAACGTATTTCTCCGTACTCCAGCGGTAGATTCAGTCTCGTGAGTAGTGCAGCGAGGCCCTCAGTCCAAAACGAAAAGACGCGAGCGAGCCCACAAAACGACAAAAAAAGATAAAAAAAGGACACAGGTGTCACGTGGGCCCGCCCCTTGCCCCGCCGCCTTTCCCAACACTGGCAAGCGTGTCTCCGTGGGAGCGTCACGCGAGACCCTTTACACGCTTTAAGACTGTTAAGGATTTGGTACAGCATTTCGATATGACCCTGCGGCAAAAGTTGTTCAGTTCAGTTTTCTTCTTAACATAGTTTTTTTTTCAGAGTTTTTGGAGTTGTTTTTTCTTTCAGTTTTTTCTTCGGAGTTTTTGGAGTTCCTTTTTTTTTTTTTTTTTTTTTTTTTTTTCAGCCCGGCTGGTAGCCTAGCTCAGCAGGCCAAAAAGTGAAGTAGACTCAACAAAGTGAAGGAATCAAGAAGCATGTGCAAAACAACAAAGGTTAAAAAAGCTAACTCCAAAAACAAATTGCCCACAGCATCACCAACAAGTTTGAAACAGCGCGTCAACAGATATCCGTATTGGGATTAAAAAGACTGCAAGTGCAATAGCAATTGAAGGAAAGGTCCACACGGAATGTACTCAGTACAAGCATCTATGGAGACCAGGGATGGGCAGCTGGCCCACCGTTGGCAAAACCACCGGACCCCTACACACACATGTTCTTCGATGAACCAACCTTTTGGCCCCAATCAAAGCAGATGAGATGGCACATGTCCTCCTTTAGGCATTGAAGCACATGCGGAGCCGGAGGGAGGTTTGAAGTTCTGACGGAAGCATTTCGTTGCTGCCATATGTGACACAGAACAGAATAACCGCCCTGACCGATTCGTAGAGATAAGCTCGCTGCTTGGTGAGGATAGCATCGGTGGACCTCAGATCTCCCCATGAACGCGGAAGAAGGCAGGCAGCTTTGACTATTGGCCAAATCACTCGGGCATGTTTACAAGTGACCCAGAGGCGTTGCTGGTCTTCCACCAAATATGTCATTTTTTCTTCCTGTTTTTTTTTTTCGAAATAAAAAAAAATATATTTGAAGTTCAAAACATGAATTTGTAGATCTCAAAAAGATCTACAACTCTCTCTCTCTCTATATATATGGTCACAAACAGAACTGCCCGGTAAACCGTAGGCAGAGAGAGAGAAGAGGACAACAAACGAGGGGCTGTGACAAACTGTTTCGTCGGAGTTTCACCGACTATATATATATATCGTCACAAACAGAACTGCCCGGTAAACCGTAGGCAGAGAGAGAGAAGAGGACAACAAACGAAGGGCTGGGACAAACTGTTTCGTCGGAGTTTCACCGATTCATCAGGAGGCTATATTTTTGGCTTATTTCTTGCCTGCGAAAAAAAATATTTGCGGGCCGTGGTGAATTGCAATTGCAGTGAAATATTAAAATGGCTGTTCAACGCCGGTTTACCGCGTTTTTTGAAAGATTCAACGCAGGACTCGCGTTGAATCCATTTCCAGACACTCAGTTCGAATATTCAACAGTGCAGCCTATTCGGAAAAAAGAGAGAAGGTTTCCAAAAGTCATGCTTTTCGGAGGTACTTCACATGCTACAGACTTCTTTTTACAAAAAAAAACAAGAGAGTGATACTGCCAACAATGCGTATGGAGCCAGATACATGCCGATCCACTTCTCCCCACAAAGAAAGAAAAAAAAAGACGAGGAACAACAACATATGGCTGCAGAATGCCACCAACTGAAATCTCTTGCCTCTATTCTCTGTTGCCATCAAGCTTGTACTCTTACTCTCTCTCTCTCTCTCTCTCTCTCTCTCTCTCTCTCTCTCTCCAGCACATGATACACTTGCGCACGACCACAAATGATAATTGTTTCATTTCTTTACCTGCTTATCCTTTTCCTCAGCTCTGCATGATGACACTTTTTTACAACATAAACCACCAGTTGACCTCTCTATACAAAGCAGGTACTGACTGGGCCGGTAGCGAAATTACCCCTCTATATACAGGGGTAATTAGGGCATTGCAATTAGGGCCTGGGCCGGTAGCGAAAATGGCACAGCCACTTTGAAAAGGGCCCAGTTGCAAGCTCACAAAGCTTCTCCCTCAACTTACGGAGGCTCGTGTGAAACCGGTGGTTTACAGGACCAGTACTCTTTTGTACGAGGCAGATTTCCAACTGCAGTGCCATGTTTTGCGCAAACGTCAGCACGGTGTTTTTGTTTTGGTTTTGGCTAGCCCCACCAGCAATTGTGGTCACTACTGAGCCTCCGCTTTATTCAGAGCAACTCAATCATGACTGTGCTTTTGTCTGGGGGATTGTGCTGATTGTTGAAAAAGAGTTTTCTGCAGAATTTCCACCCTGCAAAAGTCCAGCTATGAATTCCCCGCCTGGACCCCCCACCATCTCTCTCTCTCTCTCTCTCTCTCTCTCTCTCTCTCTCTCCTGGCAATGGTTTGAGGACATCTATTTTACTACATTCATGTGCGTGTGTGTGTGTGTGTGTGCGTGTGTGTGTGCGTGTGTGTGTGTGTGATGAATTGTTTGTTTCCTTTTTTGCTATGTTACCCTCTGAGGGGCCCATGACCACTTGCCGACCCGGGGCAAAAAAGAGTTAAGAACAGAAAACAAAACAGAAAATTATTTTTATTTTGGCAAAGAATACGAATCCGACCCTGCGGCAACAGTTATTCAGTTTATTTTTCTGCACAGCGTAGTTCGTTTTCACAGTGTGTATATATATATTTTTGATTTTTGGGTACAGGGGACCTCCCCCGGCCCTTTCCCGGCCGTGCCACCCGGGCAACCAAAGTCACCCAGGCGGCCTGGATGGTAGCACATCCTTTTTTTTTTTTTTTTTTTTTTTTTTTTTTAATTGCATGATCCTAGCACAGGGACCATGCTAATGTTAGAAATATAGAAGAAAGGGGAAAATAGTCAAAATAGCACAGGGACCATGCTAATGTTAGAAATATAGAAGAAAGGGGAAAATAGTCAAAAGAGCACAGGGACCATGCAAATGTTAGAAATATAGAAGAAAGGGGAAATAGTAAAAAAAAATACTGAAATAGTTTTTGAAAGAGTCATCTAGCGTTCCAAATTCCAACCTTGACAGTACACATTTCCGGTGTTTCCCAAAGTTCTTCTTTTTTTTTTTTTTTTGAAGACAAAGAGATTTGCAGTATGGACGACAACACAGGCCATAAATTCCAAATCCACCCCAACCTGTCCCCACAAAAAGGCCCGAAGACTATCTGGATGTCCCAATCTGAAATGAGAAAAATTCCAATTCCACCCCGACCTGGCCCCACAAAAAGGCCCGAAGACCATCTGGATGTCCCAATCTGAAATGAGAAGCCCAGCTCAGGAAAAAAAAAACCCAAGGAAATGCGAAACAGCAAGCTTGGCTGTTCACTGCGGTCCGGAACGTCTGGATCGCAACCATGCAAAAAAAAAATTGCCGCACTTACAAGAGACAAAAGAAGCAAGACAAAGAAAAGAAGCAAGACAAAGAGAACTACCTAAGACACGAGAGACGAGTACTCAAAACTAGCCACACATTGTCAACATCGCGGATAAACGAGCGCAGCCATTCGTTGAGAGCAAAAGTAAAAGGGAACAAAGAAGAAAAGCACAAGGACAAGCTAAAGCCCCGGCAGAACAAGCCGAAAGAGTTTGGGACACACGATTATGCCTGCGTCACTCGTGACGGGCAGTTGGCGACACACACATTCATTGCCATCTTGAATTCCTTGTCGACTTCAGCAGAGACCAATTCACACCTGTCGCCTATCGGGTATAGACCTAACAGCTATGGAAAAAGCGCGCAACAGGGCTACACTGGTCTGTTCCTACAACATGCTCAGGAGCATGGGGGAAAAAAGAAGGACAAAGCACACCGACAAGCTAACGCGGCGACAGAACAAGTTGAAAAAGCGCAGCAAGCTTCCCCCAGTTGGAAAAGGCTGTAATGCCATTATGCCTGTGCCACTTGCGATGGGCAAAAACAAAGGCGATGGGCAGTTGGGCACACACACATTCATTGCCCTCTTGAATTTCTTATTGACTTCAGCAGACACTAGTTCGCGCACCTATAGGCTATCGAGTATAGACCTAACAGCTATGGAAAAAGCACGCAACAGCTACACGGGTCTGTTCCTACGACATGCTCAGGACTCAGGAGCATGGGGAAAAAAGAAGAAGAAAAGCAAGAATCCGATGAACACTCACTTCTTTTCCCAGGACGTTCGCGCACCTATAGGCTATCGAGTACAGACCTAACAGCTATGGAAAAAGCACGCAACAGCTACACGGGTCTGTTCCTACGACATGCTCAGGACTCAGGAGCATGGCGAAAAAAGAAGAAGAAAAGCAAGAATCCGATGAACACTCACTTCTTTCCCCAGGACGAATACGAACCTGAAGACCTCGTCTGGAGATCAGGAATACGGAAGGAAGCGTTTGACTGGGTGTGTGTGTGATGTAATGTCAATTACGTCTGTTACGACATGCTGGGGGAATCATAGGAAGAAGACTGACGCTCTCCAGAACAGACATGAAGCCAAGAGACGGGAGCCAAGACCAAAAAGCCCATCATCTTTAAAACCACTACCTTTCCCAGCGTTGAGAAAACTGTGAATATACTAAATATAGTCTATATACTGCATATTTCGGGGACTGGGTGGAACGGCGGCTGCCGTTGATAAATTGCATCAGCGGCCACCGTTTTGTTCCGACCTCTGAAACGTGCGGGGACCCACCCCGCAGCTGATATGAGAGAAAGGTAGTGGTGCTCTAATGCAAAAAAAAAAAAGAACAAAAAAAAGAAGCCGAAGTATGAGTTGATCAACGAGATGATGCACCAGTCAAATGCCAGATCCAGATGCAAAATCGGATAGGCCACACCAATTTACATACCCTCAACAGAAGCACTGCTGTGAGTCCTGTCAGTGCAAAAATTGAAAACCTTCCGTGCACTGGCCCTAGGCCACCTGACCTGCGCAACAAACTCCCCCAATGATCATCGACGTGATACCTGCGATTGACATTACGGTTACGCTACCTGCCATTACTCAAGGCGCAGTGCGTGCAACTTCACTGGAAGCGCCGTGTTTAGCCTCTCACATCGTCTGACCGGCAGCCACGCAGTCCACCTCAAGGAGAGAACACACGATACATCCATCTCTTCGGTGAAGGGCTCGAGTCACAATTGCGGTGGCCACGCCTGAGCGCCCTTATCGCTACAGCGCTTCTTTCCCCATCACCTGCTTTCTCCCAACTGCCCCTTCGTTAACAGCCTTTTCCTCTCACCATGCTAATCGCTGTCATCATCCGTGACATCGTGTGATGCAGAACACTTATCCTGCTTCTCATCCACTCCCCCTACACCTGCCCATCCACATCGGTTCTTTCCACAAAACCACCTTGCTCAGCCATAGAGGGGTTGCAAATCTCCGTTTTGCCTTTCAACCACCAGTGCCTTCCATATGCAGGGAGGAGAAGGGGAGAGGGGCAGGGGGCTGGGGGGGAAAAGGATGCTTCCCCCCTTCATGCAGTGGATGCTTCCCAGACTCGCCATGGTCGAACGGGATATTCAAAATTCAATCGCCTCGTTTCCTTCAGCATATTCCCTTTTGGAAAAGCCTTCTGCCGAGGAAGCGCGTGCCTCTGCTATGCGGTTTCATCAGGTGGATCAGGTTCTTCCAACCGCGTCGAAACTGGAAAATAGGGTATTTCGTTACACAAGTGTGTTCATCTTCCTCTGCTTCTACCAACACCTGTCCCACCCCTCATCCTTGATCAAGAACCCCTCCAAAGCTCGCATCCTGTTGCGAACCACAACAGATACTCTCTGTTGCTGTTTGCTGGTCGCACCCTCCCCTGCGACTTGCTTCATGTGTCGCCATTTGTTCGCCACTCGTCCACATGCAGCCAACCACATGCCTGTTGCATCCTGTTGCTATGTGCTGGTAGCACCGTGCTCTGCAACGTCCTCCACTGTGTCGCCATTTGTTCGTCACCCTGTTGCAGTCTTCTGTCAAGTGGGACTCCCATGGCTTGTTGGCACCTGGCCTTCTTGCAGTTGGGTGACAAGTGCTGGTAATTTCAGCACACCACAGCCAAAGAGCCCTACTTTCCACGACCTATCGCTGGCATATATTGCCCTTCTCACAATCTGCACCGAACCAAAGCCTACCCTTTCGCAGCTTTTGCTTCAGAGCAAGGAAATACAGGACCGCCTCCATAAATGTCCTGCATGAAAGCCTGTTCAGCTAAGTTTGCCTCCAGAGCGTACGGGGGAGCCGTGGCTAGCCCGAGACATGATGAGCCGAAATGGAAGTTGGCAGAGATGCTTCACCGTATTCGAAACTTCAAACGCGTAGAACTACGCAACCCGAAGTCCGGACAACCCCACTCGAGACCGAATTTGAAACCACCCGGACAGATGTGGTATTGCCGTGGAGAAGCGTACACAGGGCGAAGGGACAGAGGAGGAGGAGGAGAAGAGAAGTGACGAAGCGAAGGTGGACACGGAAGAGGAGATGCAGGATCTATCGTCTATGCCTCGGGGAAAATTTCTCCAGAGGTATGATGAAAAACCCGGATCCGAGACGTACTCCGGCTTAATGCAAATAAATCGCAACGATGGCTTGGGTGATCCAGCGTGCTTAACTCATGGTTAAGACCGGGTTTTGACCACCCAATAATGTCTTATTATCATACACACAAGACGGGTTACGCAATCTTAGGCTCACAGAACTTTCAGACTGCCAAAGCCAGGAACACCAAGCCCATCTTAGCCATCTACCTATCTGTCTGACTACGTGCCCGACTGCCTGCGAACAAAAAACTCCATGACTTGTTCTCCAACTCTGGATGCACCATCTTCTCTCCTGATTCCTGAGTTTGGTTTGGGTGTCAGCATAAGGCCCTTACCACACACACACCTGTAACCCAACACATACCCTGGTTCCAACCTAGATGAAGGACGCAGATCGTGCAGACGGGAATTAAACCGCCGGTCCCTTTCCAAGCTATTTCTTTCTGCGGTCCGAACATGAGCAATAGCTGGCAGAGCACACCATATTCTACACACCAAGCTGTCGCATGCTGACCACACCCTGCCGCCCAGCAGACCCATTGTAAACCCTGATACGTCATATCAGACGTCCGTTGCCTTGTTGGTGAGAACTCTGCCGAACGTACCACTGACCCTTGGGCAGACTTGCTCTACCTGCCTCTGAAACAAAAAAAGTACAATGGAAGAAATGATTTGCACTGGCCATGAAGAATTTGGTTACGCTTCAACCACCAGTTCGAACCCCCTTCTAGCCCGTAAACAAGCGGGCGACGCTTTCTTGACTTTAGTTTGCAGCCGCACACTGACGATGAAGAACTGGTTGCTCTTAAACCACCAGCATGAACCCCCTCCTCAGAAACTCTAGGACATACAGATGTGCGCTGCGTTCCTGACAAACCGGCCAGCTAGTGACCAGAATGATTCCTTTGGGCGCAAAATGGTTGGGTTCAGCAACTAACTCCCCGTAACTGGCCCTTAGGACTAAACAAGGGAACCTTTTCCCCCAAGTCCTAATCCTCTAGCCTTGCAAAGGAATCCTATTCTCAAAGGCAAGAATCCCATGAGGCGAGCTTTGAAAGAGGCCTGTCAGTAGAGGCCAACCCAAGACGATGGATGGTTGAAGGGGGCACGTCGCTTTCAGTACCTGATCTGGCCTTGTCTGTTATTTCAGACCGTTCCGCCTCATGCATATGATGCCACCTTTTTCCCCCTTTTTCACCACCACGAAACGTCTCTGAAACTGGAACCTTTGTCCTTCCTTATTTGAGTGGACAGTCCTGATGGCTATACAATCAGGACCCTACATACAAATGCAGAAACGGAGTCCTGCAGAAACACCAGAAACACAGGATCATTCAAAGACAGCAAATGGAAAAGATTGCATTGCTCATGCATTATTATTATTATTATCTTCGCCATGAGTACTATCCGCAACAACCGCTCTCTCCCAACGAAAGGCACCATCTCGCCTTGGACAACATCCTACGGGGCGTTCCTACGTGTTGCATGGGGGGCTTCCATGCAGAAGAAAGCGTACCTAAAGACGCCGAATCCCTCCTCTATGACCTATAACATTAAGGATGCAGACCTGTACTAAACACTCTCGAAAACACCTCTCCTCGCTCACGATGTCGCGGAGCCACTTACACTCTCTCAGTTGTATCTCTCTTCTGTTCACTTGCCGCTTGCCAGCTTCTTATCACATGACACTGTATCCGGTTGGATGCTTGCTTCTCCAAGCCCAGGCCATCTTCAAGCTCTCCTCTAAATCTACATACTTTGCTGTCCAGTTTAATTCTCTTTTGATCTTCGAAGGATCACTATACACAACAGCGTAATCACCTGGCCGCTTCTCTTTCTGTTCGACAACCTGCAGTGACACATGAATGCCGAACAGAAAGTTAACAAAGAGTGAAAAACTGAAAAATGAGAAAATGGGGAGTAGCATCAGAGGCCCATAGGGAGGGGAAAAAGAAAGGAAAAAAAAAAAATAGTGGGGGCACAGGACCTGACCAGCCATCTTTCCGTTCAACACCTTCTAATGAAAAATGCACAGTGTAAACAGGAAGAGTCCATGCAGACATTGGAGAGTGAACCAAAAGTAAGAGAGCAGGGAGGGGGGGGAGGGGGAGAGTGGGGCGGATTTTAATAAACATGATTAGATTTTTATATCATTCTTTTCACAACCGTCAGATTCACAAGAAGCACAAATTCGAAAATATCGCAAAGAAACGATCGCTGTAGAAACAAGGTGTACAGCATCTTATCTCGAAAACGATTCTCTTTCTGATCCAGCAACCAGCAACAGTGCAGAAACGACAAACGCTTTGAGCACTTCGAGCTGCACACTTTTGCCACATGACTGATTTTTAACTGTGGACAATGACAGCGAGATGAACAAAGAAAAAAATGATGGTCGTGTCCTTTCGGAACATCTGTTGACAACTTGACACACATAATCGAGAAATGGTCCAAATTCTTACAACTCTCGGCAAATAAATACCATGCCCCTCTAGCTCAGTTGGTTGAGCACGTAAGTGGCACTCAGGAGGTCGTGGGTTCCGTACCCAACGTCGTCCTTTTGATTCCCGCGGCCCCTCCTCGGGGTATGCTTCTGTTTCACTAGCGGAGACTGTTGGCTTGGTAAATGGTCTTTTCCAGCCTGCGCCGGGTGATAGGAGCTCGGGTACTGCTCCCCGCACAGAGCAGAGACAGGTAGGCGTACACCCATAACCGTGTGATAGCTTAGCTCTGCCTAGTGGATTTGAGTTTCGTGCCTGCTATCATAGGTAAATGGTTTCTGCCTTCCGTAGTCAGCTTGGTAGGGCTTGTGGGTGAGGTTTAGATACGGGTAGTTAGAGCGAGGTATGAGCAGAAGACAACTGCATTGAAAAAAAAAAGAAAGAAAAAAAAAAAAAAAACTTGTCCCTTGCATCAAGGGAGTGCGCAGGGAGATGCAATACTTCATGTAAATTGCAGAAATCCGTGACCAACGACACATGGTGCCCACAGCTTCTGCCAAGGGCCCGCCCGCCTGCGTATCATTGAAAAAACGAAAGAAAAATATGACGGTTGCACATCGTCCTTGAAATCTGAGAAGGCTCAGGATTTGACATAAAAATAGACACCAGTATTGTCATGAATCCCAGCAGAAATGCTGATGAAGATCAGTAGAGTCCTGCATTTGCGGTTATGGGGCTACAAAAGCCTACAATACTATATATGCTTAGGTTACGACTCGAGTGGACGAAGGGCGTGTGGGGGGGGACACTTCGTTCTCTCTCACACACAAAGCACAGACGCACATGCGAGCACACACCCACACACATGCAAGCAGATAGATCGATAGATAGACATAGATAGATGATATATATATATATATATATTCAGCCTCCTGATGAGTCGGTGAAACTCCGACGAAACAGTTTGTCACAGCCCCTCGTTTGTTGTCCTCTTCTC